GTCACCACAATTGATTGCCTCCACGTGTGTGTGCTGTGCAGATCGGGGACATTGTGCACCACTATGTATACATACGCCAACCTTTAACTGTGACCAATGCAGCCCCCAGACGCGTATTAGTCACAGATAAAGCCCCCTCCCTCTTCTATTGCGTAGATGCAGCTTGCATGCTATGGCAGTTTTAGCTGGTGATTTCAATAGGCGTATTATTAACACCGTAACGTCAAGTTCCAGGAGAGTCCTCGGACACACGGAACTGTGCCATCACAATCATGTAGGTCATGATGGTAGACGTGATGCTGAGCAGGGTGGAGCGCTGCAGGCGGAATAGTCCCAAGTTGCCCAAGGTGTCCAGATGGTACCGTATCGTCTTCCGCACCAGCGTCGCGTGTTATCACTGGTTACTTGTCCGTGGTCACCAAAGGAAACGATAGACCAATTGTCGTAGTGCATGTCATTTGTTTGCATCAAAATCTTATTAGCTGACGGAACGGTGGCTGCTGACCGGCGTCCGCCAATAGAACTGCCACGCTCTCTGTGGTAGGCTCACCGATTCCAACCCTGTTCATGCCGCAGCCTCTAACCCACGGTCCGAGACTATCTCCACGGCGCGCTCGCGGTGTCTTGCAGCAGGATCGCATCTCGCCTCTGTTCCCGCTTCCCTTGCCGTCGTACGGTGCACCAAGTTACAAGTTGACTGGAACCTGTGCTCAAGCCTTTCCAATGGCTGGAAAGATAGCCTTCTAATGACCGTGTGGTCTCTTGTTCAGACATTCTGGTAATAGGCGTTCATCGCCACATGTTTTTCCTCGGCACCATCAATCCCAACGATTTAAGATGGAATCCTACGTGATCTATTGTATATTGCTGGCCGCGCCCAAACGGTTTTCAAAAGCCAGTGACAGAATGAGGCCTTCGTACCTCCTTCTTCTATTGCATGGATGCAGCTTGCATGCTATGGCAGTTTTAGCTGGTGCTTTCAATAGACGTATTACTAACGCCGTTACATCGAGTTCCAGAAGTGTCCTCGGACACACGGAACTGTACCATCACAATCATGTAGGTCATGATGGTAGACGTGATGCTGAGCAGGGTGGAGCGCTGCAGACGGAATAGTCCCAAGTCGCCCAAGGCGTCCAGATGGTACCGCATCGTCTTCCGCACCAGCGTCGCCGGCGCGCCGAGCTCAGGTCGCCGCCACTCGACCTCCAACAACAGGTTCAGGCTCTCTCGGACCAAGTTCAGGCCGCGCTGGCTCGCCTCACAGGGCGCGGCCAGTGCGACGGCGGTGTTAGCCAGGTTAATGGCGCAGGCGAACATCAGAACAGCGTCAAAGACGGACGTCATGAGGAACACAACAAACAACAGAGTGGTTACCGAGGTGAGAACTCCAAAAAGTGTTACAAAGACGAGCTCGGGGGTCATGGCGGCGGCCAGTCGTGACAGACTGTGGCAGATTCGTATCTGCAAGCGCCCAAGGCGCAGAAACTGGACGCCATCCATCTGGCGCGCACCAGTGGCAACCGCTTTGAGCTCTGCGTTGACATCCGCCAACCCAGCAGCCAACAAGTTCGCTGCGAACACGAACTTGATGGGAATCAGCTGGAAACAGCAGCTGGAGAGAAGTCCGGAAACGAGGGAAAACAGAACCGACAAGCACTTGGTGGACAACGTCTCACAATAAGATAAAGTATACAAGAGCCCATAAGTCAACGTTAAGAATGCGCTAGTCACGAACACAACGAGCAGCCACTTGACACATCGACCTGAACTTCTACCCCGTTCATTCAAACGCCTTACCTCGGCCACGTCCCTGAGCAGCGCGAGGATTTCGGCCAGGAGCGCAGCGTAGCGCAGTCGGCCTCCCATCCAGGTGGCGGTGAGCGCCAGCCAGCTCGCGACATGTACAGCGCCGAACAGACTCGAGAAGGTCGCTGCCTTCACAACCGATTTGCTTGTGCTTGTTTGCTTCAGGCCGGTTGACAGAGAATGTGTGGCAAAAGTGAGCAATGTATAGGTCACGAAGCCGTAGACGATGGTGGCATAGAGCAGCGACGGCCAGCCTCGTCGGCCAGACATGCCAGTGGCCTGGAGCATACGAATGAATACCTGATCCGCCCCGGTGATCGGGCTGGGTCGCCGGAGCCCTCCAGCGGTGCCGTCCTGGCCCCCCGGCTGGATCGCGGCGGCGCCCACTGACTTCCGGACGACCAGCCTCATGGTGGCCCGCGGGTGACTTGCAGGGAGCCGGCTTGATTCTCGTGCTCGCAGAGGCGGGCAGCCTCCGGTTAAATTTACGCCCCGGGAAGTTGACTTCAGAGCACAACGGGCGTTGCTTTCTCGCCTGCTCTCTTACGTCGCCCCGCCTTCGCCTGGAACGCCGACAGCAGTCGGAGTGGCGGGACGAAGCTCGGGCGACTCACAACCAAGCGCGACCTCCGGCAGTCGGGTCACGAGTGCGCAGAGGTGCAGCCGCTCCCGTCTCGCGAGCGCCCAGGAGTGCCGGGCGCCCCTCCGGCGTCAACAGACGTCCACGGGGGTATCGACCGGCGCACACAAACAATGCCGCTGGTGTCGACAAGCTGCTAACGTTCGGTGAAGCTGAAAGGACGGTGCCATGTTAAGCGGCACACGCTTGACATAGCACGTTGACATATGTCAACGTCACGTTGCGCGTCATCGTCGCCCGCACGGCTTTGATGATGGTGTTAGCTATTAGTTCTCGAGCTCTTCCAGCTCTTTCAGCTTTTTCATACGCCTTTTCATGAGTACTGCCTTCTGTTTGGCGTTGGTGCGTGCAGCTTTCTTTTGATGATAAGGCGTTGGTTTCGCCTTGGCGGTCGAGTGGTCTAGCAATGCAGCCATTCTGCAGGGTTCATGGTCTCGAAATGTAGTACGGTCCAAATGAGCTGTCATGTGTACTTTGCGGTCGTTACCGACATTCAGCACGGCGAATGGAGAGAGCAAAGTGATTCATTAGCATCGAATCGGCTAAACATTTCTATGTTTGCCAATATTGCAGGAGATATAATCGAGCGTTTCCCAGTGATACTTTTGCGATTAGGGAATCCGCGATCAGGTCGAGCATCAGTGCAATGACCATAATCCCACGATTTCAAAAAACTAACTGCAGTTCAGCGGAAAATTTGGGCCGATAAAATTGCAGCAGTGCTAATGCCATTTACGTACTACGTGACGTCATGGCACGGTCGCACAATGACAGCCTGACAAAGTCCGCTGTGTCCAGTTGCCAGACCGGCGTGATCGACGTCCGAGGTGATGCAGTGCTATTTCAGAGGTAAGCCGACACAGTACGGCAGCCACCTGCCGAGAACTTAAGCCGACCTCTGGCCAACTGATGGGCGGCTCAAATTAGTCGCCAACCCCCACGCCCGAGCGAGTCTACCGCGACAAAAACGAACACGTTTGCTAACCATTTGCAACGTCGTTGTTGTCGATGTCGTGGTTATCGTCATTGCTGCGTAGGCTTGTGTCGTTTAAACGTATAGTTAGCAAAACAGTCCGATGTTCTATGACATGCCGTGCAAACACGTCGAGTCAAACGTATACAACGGCCGTTGCCCAGTCATTGTTAGTCATCGCAGAGCTTTCTGAGGCAAAGAAACGGGAGATTCTCAATCACGAGAGATTCATGCATTCTCCTGCACGGGAGATTCTCAATTCACAGTGATGCTACCGTCATAACATGACTGAACTCGTTCACTAGGAATAAGTGTTTGGAACTATATTACCCGACTCGTCATCACTCACAGCGCACATCTTTGCACCCCGGAAAACGCTATCCATTTTCACACTCCCGCGCCACTGGGATATTGGTTAATGGGGAAGCTCCCACGCCCGTTTTCCGACCGTTTACGCCACTGGCTCAACTGAGTTGGAAAAGAATGACTGAAGCCTACTCAGCCCACAATTCACGCATTTGGGACATGGGCTGATGAGACAGCTTCTACCTTATGTATTCATAGTCCAATGTGGAACTTGTGAAGCGTTTATTCATGTTTCGACACGACGAATTCCGATTGAATTTCATGCGGTGGAAATGTGATAAAGCTCCTTAAAATCCCAGAGGGTATTGGGCCGACTGTGGCGGCTCTTTGGAATAAATAAAGCTTGTTAGTCTTTGAAATCAGCGCTTGGATAAGTGCACACAATTGAAACGGCATCAGAAACACGATGGGGATAACAACATGGGCACTCGGAAGGATATCATGGCACATGACACAAACCTAAGTATGTGCAAAAGGTGTGAATTTAATTTACTGTGGGTGCGTCCGAGTTCACTTCACCATCTGCTGGCTGCTTGAAAAGTATATTAATACGCGGTCAGGTGAGGGAGAGTCAATTTGATCCCCCCTCCCCTCCCCCGAAGCTTTTCAGAAATGATTTCCGAACGGCTGGCGTTCGGTGGTAGCAACGAAGCGGTCGGACGGTGGCATTTTGATGCCCCGAAAGAGCAAATATGTAACCCTTTGGGATAAGTTGATATTTGAATGGGACTGCACGGAATAACCAACATGGATAGAAAATACCGGCAGTTAAAATGCGCGCACGGCGATTAAAATTTTGCCACGATCCCCGGTGACAGTTTCGACGACTGGGCAAACAGACAAACAGACAGACAGGGCGATCTCCAGCCTTGCAATTGATCCCTTGCCCCCCACCCCCTGTTCCTACACCCGTGGGTGAAGGTTTCAAGGATATTGAATGAGCAGTGTCCGAGTTTTGTTTTGGCTGCAATACCACAAAATGGCTTATGCAGATTTGATGATTAGTATAGGAGTTTGATATCACCAGTTCTATAATGGCTGGGTTAAAAACATATATTTATTTGGAATGGAGTAAATTTAAAGATGATCAGTGCAGGCATTGTGAAGTTTGGGGTTGGTTGCATGGATGGCAGCAAAGTACTGTTGATGCAGCCTCTTAATAGCGCCATATGTGCGTACGTTTCGTCTTGCGCCGGAAACAGCACCATTCAGGAAATGACGCAAGTTGTTGCATGCAGTCCTGTGACTTGCTTGAAACTAAATTGCATACAGCCGGATTTGTTATTAGGGTCGATAGCACAAGGTGAGCGTTTAATTTTGGTGAATTGTCCGTCGTAGGCATTTCGACAGACCGCCTCGATGGGTCCTGATCACACATTAATGTGGTATTTGTGCCTGTATAGTGTATGGCCTCGTCGGGGGCGTAGTTAGCAAAGTGAATTGGGACGGCTGAACAGCGTTAAAAGGGCAGCCTGCCTCAAATTGCACTGAAAAACTGGTTTATCCCCAGCTGTGGCCCACGTTCTTCTCACAGGTGGTGGTATTAGGGAGGGGGGCCACTAGGCCTGAGGCCAGGAATGGGGCTGAAGTTTTCCTGCACTATATAGGAATTTGTACCATGGCCTTATGTTTAGAAAATGCATGTACATTGTAAATATCTGCTGCTTGGCTGCACTATGATCAACACATAATGTGGAACATGATCCACATAGCAGCAACATGTCAGCAGTGAGTTCAGCATGTGCATTTCAGGATGCTGTAAATCTGAGTATGCTGTTTGGCACACAGTTTCAACATGTTTTGGTACCACCATGTGAGAACCAATTTTTCAAGGAACTGTGATGCTGGTGGCAAGTGTCTGAAACTTGGTTTTAGCTCTTCAAAGTGAGAAAAAAGTGTTGTTCAAGATTAGGAATTGTGCCACATTTTACATGAAAATATTGCAGTGCTGGAAAACTTTATGTTCCCTGGTGTAATGTGCACCAAGAGATTTTGTACTCCAGGATTGTGACTAGGTCAAATAAAACATTTTGTACTCCATCATGATGCAATAAGAATAGCTTTTGGAAAAACTCATTTTACTTCCTTGTGTCAGGACAAAACCAAACCAGAAGGTGCAACAGCCTGAGACTTGGTGCATCCATCAGGATCTACATATTGATATCTGCAAGAGTACAAGTCTTGCACCCACCAGACTAAGCTGTCCAATAGCAAGCTGCCTGTTTTGCCATCTAGGTATATGATAAACCATGTATGGAAATGTGAAAAATAAAGCATGTAAAGGTTTTATGGAATTGGCTTTTGAATAATGCTGGGAAATGAGAAATAAATACCAGAATCACACCAGTCTGTAGATCAGCAAAGCTCTCACTTCCTATGCCCTACACAGACCAGCTTAGACTTGAACATGACTTAACCTACCATTGACGATGAAGAGCATTAATTGCCAAGGATGCAACAAACATTCATAGAAAACCACTCCCCCAATCACCTACCACAGATGACCACCTACCCACATGCCACCACCGTGTCATGGCAATGCAAATAAGAATCACTCACTATTCAGCGTCAGAAACATCTCAACTATTCAGCGACTTGCACCTGCCTCTCAGTTCAGGCTGGAGGTTGAACATGGCAAAATTCTCCAGTTGGTTCCAATGATTTGCCTCGTTGTGACTGATTTGTCAAAAGCATAAATATTCTGCTCACGCTCATGCCCTGAGCAGATTTGTAAACATTTGGAGGGAACCTGTGTAGAGATGGGCATCACGATTATGAAGAAGGACTTATTTGTACTCATCCAGAACCCTTACCTGTTTTGGGATTGCATTAGTATCTTAAAATGTCAGATGATTGTGTTTTGAACATAGGGTTATGTAATAGTTTTGGTCTGCCAGTACAGAATAGGCAGTTCTAAGATATTGATAGTGCAGTGGATAGAGGAAGCATTACACATTTTTATGATGGTTCCTGAGCTTGATGTCTGCAAAATATGCAAACTTTTTCATGCATACCATTTTATAAAGGTGTCATAGAGGTGTCATATAAGTCCTACCACTTATTTGGCCAACTTAAGGTACAAAAATGTTCTTTCAGACCTCCTCCTGGCATCAATAGCAGATGTTTTTGTGCAAGTTAAGAATACAAATAATGTTTTGTGCTGTGTACAGGATGCTGGACAGTGGTAAAGGTTTTGATAAAAATGAGACTGGGAATGTAATGCATTTACTTGTAGGAAATGTGCCTGATTTAAAGGCATTGAACCAAGCATCAGGTATGATGAAAAAGCTCACTTCAAAGCACCACAGTGATGTGATAGTGATATTCTTTATTTGTCTTGATTGCTGTATGGCTAATGGAATGACAGGATTGAAATGGCATCATGGTGTTATGGATGCCTGGGTGACCTTGAAATATTCTCCCCAAAAAGTCTGCTTGTCCTTGCAAGCACATAGCTCAGAAACTAGAGGGGTGGGCACCATATGACCACCCTAGTCAGTGCACCATAAAGCCCAAACAATCATCATCATCAGAAACTAGAGAGGTTTAGGTGTAAAGAAGAAGAGGGCTGTGAACTGCACTGAATGATTATCAAGATGGCTGTTTCATTTCAAACCCCCATACAAATGTGGAATACTCCCTTTGATATAAGTGTCGCAACCAAGCCTAGGAATGCAAGTCGTCAGGATAAGATAAGAGGTGAATATGTAAGAACACCACAAGGAAGGGCCAAAACATGCACAACTACTGATATTTGGGTTCTGAAAACACCACAACACACAGGTTGGCAGGATACCTCTTGAGAAGTTGAAGCACTACAAGTAAGTCAGCCATCACCATGATGGCAATCTCACATGCCCAGTGTGTCAGCCCCTCTGACAACACACAAATCCTCCATTACATAATCAAAGGATGACATAATGGTGAACATATTTACCAAATGGTGAAATGTTGTTTTCCTGAAGCAGTCTTTTAACAATGACAGCAGCTAATGATGGCAGTTGTGAGTGGAGCTACACATGGGTGGATTTGACGGATCCTCTGCCCCTCAGGGATCACATTCGAAGCGTGAGGGCGCCGCGGGCCGCAGACTGGGAGGCCAGGACCAGCGGCGTCATGGACGCGTCCGCGGCTGACAAGAGCAAGGAGGACGAGCTGCTGGTGTTCGGCTACGCCTGCAAGCTGTTCCGCGACAATGAGAAGGCCCTGTATATCGACAGTGGCAAACACCTGATCCCGTGGATGGCGGACGAAACATTGAAGATTGACAGGTCCGTTGGCTTCGTTGGCCACCGTCCGTTGGCTCGCTGGAAGTGCAGTGACGGAAGATGACTGTGACGTCTTGTCTCGGGCACACGCCATGCACGCCCGCCTGCTCGAGCCGTACTCGGGCGCCACTGGTCTCGGTGGCATCTGATGTCACCCGTGGCGGGCTCTGTTGGTTTAGGTTCGTACACTTTTGATGTTTTGGTGTTCTAACCTGGCAGAAACTTGCATTTTTCACAGTCACCATGCAGTTTACAGCCCAAATTAGGACAATGACGGCAGGATGAAGATGCTTGCGGTTTGTGGAACTCGCAAGTGTTTGATAGTGGAATAAATTTGGTAAGTATCTGGTAAGTAAGGTAAGTATTTACCATCTTGGGAGTATTTGGCCTGGCTCATTATGTGACTGTGACAGATGTTTGGTTACCAAAGTGTTCAAACTTGTTCATTGCTGTTTATGATGACTGATTGTTGGAAGTTAAGGGTGCCTGGTCAAGTATTGTGTCACTTACCCTTGTACATTATGCATGGTGTAGTGGAGCATGTCTGCTGTTCAGGACACTGCCAAGCCTTCCAAACTGACATACAGGTGATTGGAAGCTTGACAGATATGCCGAAATATTGACAAGATGTCGACTGCGTGCTGCCGCTGTGTGCCCTCGGCTAATCCAGGCCGTCTCGCTGCCCATTCTGACGCACATTCTGCGTGTTTTCAGCCGCGCTCCGTCGGCTGGGGTGGACACTGTGTGCCGCCGCCGCCACAGCCGCCGCCCTCAGCGTGTGTTCCTGTAGTGTCCGTGGGTGCCGGCCGGCCTGCGGGGTGGGCGGCGCGCGCGGCCGTGTGCGCCGGGCGCCTCTGACGTCGGCCGGCCCGTCTGCCGCAGGTACGACGGTCGTGGCGCACTCTCTGACCTGCGTCCGCACGAGCCGCCGCCCGGCGGCCATGACCGCTGGCACGGGCTCACCGAGCGCGAGCGGCGACTCGAGGAGCTCGTGGACCGCGAACGCTACCTGGCGCTCTACCAGGACGAGGACGAACAGCGCATGCTGGAGGGTAAGCAGCCGCCGCCGCCCGGCTCCGGTTCCGGCTCCGGCCAGCACGGCCGCTTGCCCCGGCCGGCGCCGGCTGACACCAGACACCGTAGGACAGTGGTGCAGTCTTGGATGTAACTCGGGACCGCCCTGCGCTGTATTTGCTTGCTTTGAATTGAGATTTTAGGCGTTGTGCGAAATCAAGCCGTTGCATGGTGTTTGACACACAGCTGCGGGGAACTCGCTGAATGTCCTCATTTCTGCTGTTTTGCAGCAGTGTTGGTGGTGTGGCTGGAGACATTAACGTTTTCCTGATTGTAATACTTCCTGTTAACACACGCGGAAAGCATGAAATTCGTTCGCTGGATGCACTGCAGGCACGGTTACAGAGTTAAGCCGCGCTCAGTGGCAGTCACAGCATAGGCCATTAGGTGGTCATCTTTCACCACCATGTCGGCTGTACTTGTGAAAAGCAGTGACACCGCTAGCGGTCAGCTGAGTTCGCTGCCCTTTGTGCGTGCGTGTTGTGTGTGACGACGGACTGACGCGTCCCCGGCCCGCAGAGGAGGAGTGGAAGCGGCTCCAGTCGCTGGCCGGAGACGGCGCCCGCTACAGCCAGATGGGCTACACGTACGACGCGGCCGGCGGCGGGGGTGGCGGCGCCGCCACCGGCGCGGCGCCGCCGGCCGCCCGGGAGCCGGCGGCGGCCGAGCCCGAGGACGAGCCGTACCAGCCGCCGGCCGCGCTCGGCCTGCCCGACGGCATGGCGCAGGTGGGAACGGACGCCCGAGCCGGCCTCCTGCGCCGGCGCCTGTCCCGAAGGATGGGTGGACGGGATGACCCGCACCGGTGGGCGACTGGCGCGCCTCGTCGTCCGCGGTCGGCCGGCTCTTGTCCGTTGACGTGCGGACAACCGATACCCGGGCGTGTCACGTAGCACCAGTGATTCAATCCTTCAGGTTTCCTTTGCTCTGTGTTGCCAGGCGCTGCCAGCCTTCCAGTGTGTGTGATCCTGCCGGTCACATGCCGGTTCTGATGCAGTCGGTGCCTTGTTTTTACCCCACTTTCCGTGTTTTGTTTGTAACGCCACTGCCATTTTGAGCTGTGGCATCGCCGTGTGCTGCTTATGCCTCCGTCATTATTGTGCTTCTTTGGCTCCACTATTTCGCTGTGTTTTACAACACCGCTGCCTGTGTGGGCCGTGTGCTGTCTGTGACACCACCGTCCATGTGGCATGTGTGCTGTTTGTGACACCACTGTCTGCGCGGCATGTGTGCTGTTTGGGACACCACTGTCTGTGTGGCGTGTGTGGACCATTTTCTGTACAGTCTGCGTGCTGTTTTTGACACCATTGTGTGGAGCGTGTGCTGCTTGCGACACCACTGGGTTAGCTTTATTTGTTCATCACACGACTGTCTGTGTGGGCTGTGTGCTGTTTGTAACATCACTGTCTGTAGGCCATGTGCTATCAGTCGCGCTGTCTGCGGGGCGGCCGTGTGCTGCTGGCGACGCCCCCTGCCCTTGTGAGCCGAGCGACTGCGGTGGATGAGAGTGTCGTGCGTGCTGTTGGCAGCCCGGGTCTCGCCGACACGCCGACATCATCGAGAGGACAGCCCATTTCGTGGCGCGCCAGGGCCCGCAGATGGAGATCCTGATCAAGGCCAAGCAGTCCGATAACGTCATGTTCAACTTTCTGTCGTTCGACGACCCGCTGCAGCCTTTCTTCCGCCACATGGTGGTGATGATCAAGGCCGGACGGTACACCATCGGACCGCAGAAGCCAGGTGAGCGCCACCGACCGTGACCCTGGGGACGGGGCTCGGTCGGCGCCGGCTGTCACGGCCGTGACCCGGGGGCGGGGCTCGGTCGGCGTCGGCTGTGACGACCGTAACCCCGGGAGTGGGCTCGGTCGGCGCCGGCTGTCACGGCCGCGCCCCGGGGGCGGGGCTCGGTCAGCGCCGGCTGTCACGGCCGTGACCCGGGGGCGGGGCTCGGTCGGCGTCGGCTGTGACGACCGTGACCCCTGGGGTGGGGCTCGGTCGGCGCCGGCTGTCACGGCCCGCCGTCCTGTGGCGGCTCCCAGACGTGCACACGCTCCTAATGTAGGAAGCCTTCGCATTGCAGCGACTGCTCCGGATCCTTCGGTCGTGGCGTTTCCTATCAAAACGATCCCAAGACATCGAGGAATAACCGCAGCTCCAGTCTTCCTCATACAATTTACATCGTTCTGCCGGTCGGGTTTAGCCCTTCGGGTTATAGGAAGCGGGCCTGGCCGGCGTGGTCACTGTCTGGCTGAATGACCGGTCACTGTCTGGCTGAATGACCGGCCGGCAGCTGGGGTTTTGGAAAGTCCCGAACTGGACGGGCAATACGAGATGCCGTCACGCGCCGCATGGCTCCGAGTGGCATGTGATTTTCTTTTGATTCTGGTCGTCCTTTTTCAGAAGGAGAGGATGAGGCATATCTGCACCCAGCGCTGAATCTCAGCCGTCCGGACATAGTATGTATGCTAGCAAGCGTTCTTCCCAACAGCTCGCCCGAAACGTGGCCACCTTCAGCTATCACTAGCTGTTGCAGAACGTCGTTTTCTTCGCCAAAAGGACGTTTAAATTTATAAACATGCCTCATGAGGTTCGGACTGCAGACAGCCCCAGCGGCGTTGGTGCGCGCTGGGCCTGTGATAGGCTAAAGCTGCGTAAATCGTTGGTGAAGACGAACCTTGAATACTGTGTCCACTTAAAAGACCGGCCATCCGTTTGACGGATGCTGACCATCGGTATTGCCGTCGTATGGTGAACGCTGCTGCCACGTGCGGCCGCAGAGCGTGACGGCAGCGTGTCCCTCCGCCAGGCTCCGGGCAAGGTGGACGTGATGTACCAGCCGTCGGCCAACTGCGCGTACCAGCTGCTGGTGAAGAACATTCGGTCGCGGCAGGCGACGGACAGTCCGGCCGGCAGCGGCACCTCCAGCCCGGTGCCGGCCGCCGGCGCCGCCTCCTCGCCGGCGCCGGCGGGCGCGGCTGGCGCCGCTGACAAGCCAGTCGCCGCCTCCGCCGTCTCCCCCGCCGCCTCCCCCGCCGCTGCCAGCGTCGCTGCCGACGGGGCGCGGCCGGGGCCGGCAGCGTCGGCCGCCGTGCCGCCGCCTCCGGCCGACGTCCGACTTATCATCGACAAGATGGCCAGCTACGTGGCCAAGAACGGCCGCGACTTCGAGGGCATCGTGATGGGCCGAGGTGAGCGGCGAGCCGGTGTCAGCGGGGCGCGGCCACCTGGCGGCGTGGGCGGGCTGGTCCGGGGCCATCACTCGTTCGGTGCTGCAGGCGGCGTGAGACCGCGTCGGCAGCCGTCCGCCGGCCGCTGTGGGGACGACGCAGCTGTCTGCACGCCGCCACACTCGCTCGTGTGCCCGTGCCCTCAGGGGACGAGCGCTTCAGCTTCCTGAAGGAGACGCACAAGCATCACGCCTACTACCGCCAGAAGCTGGTGCAGTACGAGCGGGATCTGGGCAAGACCAAGCCGCCACCGGCGGCGGCGGCCGACACCGACAAGGCCAACAAGCCAGGTAGGTCGCCGCCATGTCTTCAGCTTGCTGTCCCCAGCTGTAGGGCGTTTGCCTGCGGTCGGCTACGTCTAGCGCCATGTGTAAATGGCTGGCCGGCCCGCGTGCCACGCCGGCACCGCTTGTGTGAAACAAAATATATGAAATGCTGGGCGGGTGGAGACCTCGTCCGGGGTCGCTCGGCGGTCAATGTTGGTTTCCAAAAACACGGTCCATTACCTGCTCATTCTGTGGTGATTAACTATCGCGAGCCGGCCTCCGGCTGTGTGTGGGCAGTGCGTGGTCTTCCCCACTATCCACATGCCGTGGTGCCCAGCTCCTGATCGTGTCGCTTATTCGGCGCCGCGCCTATATGGCGGCGCCGCGCCTCTCGTAACCCCCCCCCCCCCCGCACACACACACACACGCGGGTGCCGTGTGACTGAGCCATGCTGGTCTGCGGCCGTCCAGTGCCTGTGTCGTTCTCGATCCGGCCCAAGTCTGACAAGGAGTCGACGCCGCTGGAGCGGAGCGCCCTACCGCTCGAGGAGAGCGAGGAGGAGGCCGACGAGGCGGGTCAGCCGGCCGCCGCCACTGCCGCCGCGGCGGCCGCCCCCACCGCCGCCGCCACAGCCGCCACCGCCGAGACCAACGGCGACGTCCGGCAGGAGAGAGGTGACCGCGGCCGGCGGCCAGCGGGGCGGCCGCGGCACGCCGGCGTGCGCGCTCGCTCTCCTCTGCGGTGTGCGGTGTTGTGCAAGTGGTAGTCTGGAAGGGCACCACCACACTGTGGCCACCACGCTACCAACCATGTTGCCATGGAAGCAAGTGGCCTGCAAGCTCTTTACAAACATGGAATGCTAGTTCGATGGAACGAATTATGTAGTTAAGTCGTTCGTAATGATTGAGACTTGGGGATAGTATCACGGATGGAATGATTGTTTGGGCTGTCTTCCGCGCATAAGGTGTTAGTATCTACGCGATACGCATGGACGTAGTTACTAACATACCAAACTAGGGACGATTGTCCAAACAATTGTTTTATATGTCACACAATTTGAGTATCACCTTAAAACGTAATGAAAACAGCTACCTATGTCTCTCCATATTTTCAAAAAAGCACAAATTCAGCTTCTCACCCCTTTTAAGACACCTGGAGTGACTGCGATTGCCTTGCCATTTGCGTGGAGTGTCCGTGAATATCTGGTCCGCAGAGAAATTTCCGGGCGAAAGACCGGCTAACACTGTCCTTACGGCTGTGAGGGAGGCATCGGCTTCAGCTGAGCGAGCCTGTCTCTCCATCAGGTGGAGCGTCGGCTGGACCACCAGCGGTGGCCTCACGGGGGGACGGGTCGAAGAGGCAGACGCGCCAGGTGCCGCTGGTGGCGCCCGCCCCCGGTGTGGGCCGCGATGAGATCCAGCTGGACCGCAAGAGGCGGGCCGCCCAGTTCCTCGCCAAACTGCGCCAGGACGTGGACAAACACAAGCAGCCGATCATAGGTAATGTCCTGTTTGGACTTGGTAGTTCAAAATGATAGCGATGCCGCTGCTTTGTGAGGCTGGACTGATTTTTGTCACATGGCCTGTTGATACCAAGCTCCACCACGCCCATTTCGGGACTGGCATGTGTGGGCATTATTCTACTTGCGTTTGTAAGTTGTTTAGTGCATTTGCGTGGATCGCTATTCACCTAAATAAGGCAATAGTAATAGCCTTATTCCTAGGAGAAAAAAACCAGATGAATGGAGATATAGATGGTTGATATTTCGGCAACATACCTTTGTCGAAACAGTAGCAGAAGTGCTTATGTTTCGATAAAGATATTCTGCTATTGTTTCGATAAAGGCATGTTGTCGAAATATCAACCCATCTATGTCGTCATTCTCGTGGTTTTCTCGAAGAAACAAGGCTATTAACACTGTGTTACCTGCGTCGTATTTGTGATACTTTAGACCTTTTCAAGCTAGCATTAATGAACAGGGACATTATTTGGTGCCAAGTCTGCAATGCCCGACAATTCAGGTAAACAGGACTGAAAACCATTTGATGTCAAGGCTATCAAGATAATTAGGTTAGTTTTAGTTAGGAAAAGTTTTTGTTTCGCCACCTTTATGATGGTCAACTTATTTTTGCGGTACTTATTCATTTGATACCATGGGATCAGATTCGTAAACGTGATAACATCAAATATGAACATTATGACAAAACCAAGTGATTGCGCATCTCCCCTGCTGTCTTGATGGATCTGACGACAAGCACTGGGGTGCGAAAAGGTGGAATTCGTGGCATTGGCGGGTGCGTTATGGACATCACAGTGTTGTGTATGGGTCACCGCCAGAGGTCAGGAGCGCGCCGTGACCTGCGTCCGTGCCCCGACCGGCTGACAGCGGGCGGCGCTCGACAGCCAGCGGTCGGCCGTCATCAGCTGGCGACTGAGCCTGACTCACATGCCCGCAGGGCCCCAGCTGCCACCCGGCCCGCTGCCGGCACACTCTGACTCTGACTCGGAGTCCAACTCTGGCTCGGAGCCGGCGGCGGCCGGAGGTGAACTGTGGCCGGAGCGGCACGGTCCGCCCTCGCCCGGGCCGACGCAGACGCCCGAGCAGGAGCAGGAGCAGGAACAGCAGCAGGAGGAGGAGCAGGAGGAGAGTGGGGACGAGGCCGACCTGGACAAGTACAAGCTGGTGGACTCAGGTAGGCGTGCCGGACGCGGCGTGACATCACGAGCGGCCGACTCCCGCGCCGGACCGGTCGCCTCCCGCGAGCGCGTGCCCTCCCGCACCGGTGCGGCCGCTCCGCGGACCCGGCACGCTCCCGCCGCCGGGACCGACCGTCTCCCCCCTGCGAGCGGCTGCCTCCCGCACCGGTGCGGCCGCTCTCCCGCGACCGGCCCGCTCCCGCGCCGGACCGGGCCGCCTTCCCGCGAGCGGCGCTGCCTCCCTGCATCGGTGCGGCCGACTCCCGCGCACGGCCGCTCCCGCCGCCGTGACCGGGACCGTCCTCCCCGGGCGACCGGCCGCTCCCGCGCCGGACCGGCCGCCTCCCCGCAGCGGCTCGGCCGGCCTCCCGCACCGGTGGCGGGCCGGCCTCACCGCTGACCGGGCCCGCTCCAGCGCCGGACCGGCCCGGCCTCCCGCGAGCGGGGCTGCCTCCGCCCCACCGGTGCGGCCGCCCTCCGCGACCGGCCGCTCCCGCGGGCCGGACGGCCGTCTCCCGCGAAGCGGCTGCCTCCGCAACCGGTTGCGGGGGCCGCCTCCCGCGACCGGCCGCTTCCCCGCGCCGGGACCGGCCGTCTCCCGCGAGCGGCCCGTCTCCCGCACCGGACCGGCTAGCCGTGCTCAGTTCAGCAGATACGAGGACCTGGATTGCCTTTTCTTACATCACCTCAGAATGCAATATTTTGATGGTGCAAAACTATGTATGATTTGTTCATTTGGCATGTACATACGGCATACATACGTGTGTATATTGGTATGTCGGCATGTATGGTGCATGAAGGTACGTAGGTACGTACGGGATATAAAGGTACGTACGTGTGTACGTATAGTATATGAAAGAGTGTGCGTGGTAGGCACGTATAGCGTATGGTATGTTACATCAGCCAGTCCATGGGCTCATTATAGACCAAATGAGATATGTCAACCGTTAATCTATAAGCCACTTGACTTAAAATTCATCAAATAAGCCAGTTGATTGGTTTATGAAACAATCGATAACGGACCTTTGTCGTTAATGTGTTATCGATATGTTTGATGGACATAATTAGTCACGGCGTTTCGGTGCGGTATTTCCCTCTTATGGGTTAAAAAAAAAACATTGACGTGCATACCATTTCGCATTGTACAGCGCGCCGCGTCCCCGTCGCCATCCGTTAGCATTGTACACGGGGCTGATGCGAGGGAACAGCTGCAGCACAGGGGCGCCCGACGGTGCGCCGCTGTCCGCCCGGATGCCTCCGCCCCCCGCGCGCCCCTGTGGCTGCCGGTGACGTGCGCACGCTGCCGGCAGACTCGCCCCACTCGGTCACCTGAGTACGCGGCCCGACGACGCCAGCCGAGCCAGCACTCCGCCCAGCGACCAGCACAGCGACCGGCGCGCCAGCCGCGCGGACAGCAGCGCCGCCCGGCGCGCCAGCCGAGGCGCCAGCGTCAGCGACGGCCAGGACAGTGGGGGCGCCCAGCGCAGCGACCCACACGCGGTAGCTGGTGGCAGCCGCGTCGCCAGGTGAACACCGGGGCAGTCGGCAGGCGCCAGGAACACGTGGTAGCCGAGGAGGCAAGTGAGCGCCAAGGCAGTCGAGGCGCCAGTGAGCACACGTGGCAGTCGAAGCGCCAGTGAGCGCCATGGGAGCCGTGGCAGTCGAGGCGCCAGTGAGCGCCATGGGAGCCGTGGCAGTCGAGGCGCCAGTGAGCGCCATAGGAGCCGTGGCAGTCTAGGCGCCAGCGAGCGCCATAGAACCGTGGCAGTCGAGACACCAGCGAGCGCCATAGGAGCCGTGGCCGTCGAGACGCCAACGAGCGCCATGGGAGCCGTGGCGGTCGAGGCGCCAGCGAGCGCCATGGGAGCCGTGGCGGTCGAGACGCCAGCGAGCGTCATGGGAGCCGGGACAGTCGGGGCGCCAGTGAGTTGGGCGAGGGCGGCCATCGCCAGGAGCAGCGCCGCCACCGGCACCGGCACAAGAAGCGCTCGCATCAACGACGGCGGCCGTCATCACCGGCAGCACGGCTCGGGACGGCGGCGAGGAGAGCGGGGCGGCGCCCGCCTCCCGCTCTCCGTTCCCGCTCCGGTTCCCGCTCACCGCCCCGCCACCGCAAGCGCAAAGAAGCGGCCGCGCAGCCCGCCGGCCCTCGTACAAGAGGTGCGTGTTCGGCTTCGGCGCCGGCGCTGGCGGCTTGACGCTACACTAGGGCCAGACCAGCTGAATGACCCCGCGCGGAGCAAACTGGGCGGGTGCTCAGCAGGCTTCAGTGTGACGGGTTAAGCTGTAGCGTGTATGGGCAACAGTGAGCTAGAGGGGATCAGAGGGACCAGTCGGGAAAGGGCGAGTGTGGCTGACCAATTCTGTTGGGATGTGTAGCGCGCCCATGTGGTTATATGTGTGGCCAGCTGGTTTCGGCATGTCAAAGGTTTGTTTCGGAATTGCTTGTGGGGAGGGGGAGAGGTGGAGTGCTTTAGATGCCGGTTTCAAGTGGAATGTGTGGCTTAGTGGGGTGAATTTACTGGGTTTAACTGTTTGATGGTGGTAAACTTGTGGCTGCTGGCTGAGGTGCAGTGTATGGTGAGCATTGGTAGGGGTGGGATCAGAGCGAGCATGCACTGTGTTTGTAAGTGCGTGTGACCGACTGCCTGGTGCGACTGACTCCGACGCCGTCTGCCCGACAGGCTGCAGTCCTCCGGTGCGGCGCCGGCTCCCGTCTCAGACATGCACTGGCGGCGCACCGCCAGGCCGACACGCTCCCGGTAAGCGTCCCTCTCCCTCCACTGCCGACTGGGGAGGCCCCAGGTCGGTTACAACCGGGAAAGCCCCGGGTCGGTTGCAACTGGGGAGGCCCCGGGTTGGTTATAACCGAGGAGGCTCCTGGTCGGTTATAACCGGGGAGGCCCGGGTCGGTTATAACTGGGGAGACCCCAGGTCTGTTATGACTGGGTAGGCCCCGGGTCGGTAAAACTGGGGAGGCCCCAGGTTGGTTATAACCGGGGAGGCCCCGGGTCGGTTATAACCGAGGAGGCTCCTGGTCGGTGATGACCATGGCGGCCCAGGGTCGGTGATGGCCATACCCCACTGCCAGATCGGTGCCTGCATGATGCTTCGAAAGTCCAGCCATCCTCGAAGGCAGGTTGGTGGTCGGCCACCGAGTGGGTGGGCCCAGTATTCGTCGGC